TTTCGGCTTGTAACAATTATTGTAATAAAATTAGTTACAAGAATTCTATTCAATGATTCTTAAACCTTGATTATTATTTGCAAAATAAGCAACTGTTGTTGCAAACTTGATAGAAGTCTAATGTAAAAGATCATTAACGTGGCTGGCGAATCAATAACGGGTTACTGAACGCAATTCGCATTGCGTTCAAGTTACTGTCCTATTACTCCGCTAATCTAGTTACAACTTGAATAATCTCGTTATAACTTTAGGCATCAGTAACTTGGACGCAGCGAGGAACCTTTTAGAATTCCAATACTCCCTTCTACCATTCTTGATAACGAAATTTTACCGTTCGTTCCTGCGAGTCTCACGGCCGTACTATTCGCAGAGGAGGAATATATTCCACCGGCTATCATCTTCGTAAGTTAACGCAACGACGAGCACGATTAAAGTTTACGAAACTCGATTGCGACGAAGTTTGGGGAAACACCCAGCCGGAATGAATGTCCGACGTTCTTATCGGGCGCGTCGACGAGTGGCAATAAAAACGGCTCATAAACGCGCGTTTAGTTCGGTGATCTTTCGTTGTTACGATTTTTGTTTTCTTTTTTCGAAAACCGTTCTGTCCCGCAAACATCCGTGGAAAAAGGCGGTCCCGGGACTTCCGGTAACTGCACTCGAAAGCTGGCCTCTCGGCCGGAAGGGTGCTCGAAACGCAATTTCAAAGCCCGGGCTCGCGGTCGCCGGTTTAGAAAACTATGCAAATCCGCGGAAGCTCGCTATAATTACGTTATAACCGCGACTCGCGGCGGGGGCGAGCGGATCGGGAACGGGGTAGGCTAGCCCCGTTCCGCGCTGTGTAATCGGCCGCGATTACGTTGCAACGATATCGGTCAACTCTTGCCTTTGACTATTGATCAGTGCATAATAACACGATGAAACACTGTTCGTGGAAAAGTAACGAGTCCGATGCGTTGCCGTTCACCCGTCGACGCGGTGAACTCGCGGTACGATTATCGACGGGAGAAACCCGTATTATTGTCAAACGAGATCGCATTCCCAGAAATCGTTACGAGCAAAAACGAATGAAACCATTTATTTTTAATAACACGATGATCTTGTCAATTAACTCGTCGACTGTACGTCGAGCATTGAGTCCAAGGAAACCGGGATTTAAACTCGGTGCCAATTAATTTCAGAAAGAAAGACTCGCTCGCAAATAAAGTCCCCTTAAATCAGTTACGGCAAAGAGGCGAGTCACTCGAATCTGACAAACGCTTCTACTAAATAAGCGGCGGCCGAACCGCAGCACCCGAGGACTGGGCAATAAATTACCGGGCAAAGACACGGGAAAAACAGCGTGCACAGTTTCGAGCGCAAAAGTCGTTCCGGTGTCGGGCGAAACTTCTTCTTCCTGCCGGGGAACAATCATTTCAGGAAGGAAGAAGAAAAAGTTCTTACCGTCCCACCGCTCACGACAAAAACACCAGCCGAGGAGACAAGTTCAATTTCGTTATAGACTTTCGTTTTCTTCCTGAGAACAAACAGAGGGAGCCTCGGCGAATTTTGTCACACTGTTTATATAGAAGGATCGAGTTTTTGTCAAGGAAGCTCCGAACTATACCATTTCCTGTTTCACCATTTAAGTGAGTAAAGTTATGAATTACGAATGGAAAAATATGAAACGAAGAAAGCAATCTTGGCAAATTCATGGCTTCCTGAAGAGAGGATATACTCCTGACGAGCCACCATGCTACTCGTTTTGGTAATTGGATCAACGCGAGCCACAGACTGATCGAAGGACGAGAAACTTGGCAGTCTCGCAGCAGCCAGCAATTTTCTAAATAAATTAGTCAAGAATTCGTCGTCGTTTTACCGTTTAATTAAAAAACCCTTCGTGCACCAGATTCTGTTCCAGACGGTAGGAAACGACGACGGCCACTGGCAACGATGTCCTAGTTTAAAACATATAAATAAAATCGTGCGGACCGTGTGTAATGTGATCAATAGGAAGGATTGCTTGACGGAATAGATTCGCTCGATTTGAGAACTTTCTTCTTCGCAGAATTTCTAAAGCTTTTGTTCACTGAATTTCAAGCCCTGGTCATTCTTAGTATAAATTCACTTTATAAAATGAAACTTCAGTCGCACGCAGAATAAAGGAAGCTAGAAAATGTCACAGTATCATGTGAAATGTATTTTTATTCACTAAGTATTTAAAACATTTTTAATAACTCGTCAGAAAGAGATCTATGTAGGTGTCCACGTTCCCTTTAGAAATTCTCTAGTAGGCGTAAAATGATACTTTATTTAGCTCGTCTCTCGCTCCCCGTCTCTATCTCTCTATTGATTCCACCAATACGATTAAAATACGTTGATTTACTTAATATTTCATGTCTAAAAGGCATCTATTAACGGAGCGAACTTTTGCCTTTCTCAGAGCTTGGTCATTTTCACGACGGCGCTTAGGCGAATCATTTTTTCATGCTCCCGTAATCATTTGTAGTACGTACGGGCGGCAGTGCGTGGGCGGCTCAGGCCCACGTGTTCGCATCATTATCGTCTGTTTTTGTTTCCCCCGGCAATTCTGAACCGAGCAACGTCGAGTTTTTATTAATTTTCTTTCGCGCAAACGGACCTCAAATATTAGTAATTAACAAAGTTTTCCTTTTTTTTTTTCCTCTGTTTCCAATGGAACTACCGAACTGGGTCAGAAGGTTATTCCACGATAGTCGAGTGCGGAAGAATAGCCATTTTACCAAATTGTTCACTCTTTTGTCTACCTCGCGTGTGCCTCCCCGTTGAAGTTTACTAATGAATATTTCGGACATCACTCGTTTCGAATAACAAACGGAAGTTGGCAAAGAAATTTATTATTTCAGATTTAGAATTTTGATTAGACGAAACACGCACGCTGAAAACTATACTAAAGATCCTAAATCTATTGAATCTCAGAGAATCCTCAGACACTCCAGAGACCCAAAAAATTGTGAAACGAACTATTGTACAAGAAAAATACGTACTCCTCTCTCCGAGCAATACTTTTACCTCTTTATCCGCCGTAACTTTTACAAGATGAGAAATAAAATCGCTTTGGCGTGTTGCATGTTCTATCCGTTTCGTACGGGACACTTGAATTCCTCGAGAAATACAGTCGAGACGCGTTACGCGAGTGCGTGCTAATGACGTCGTTAGTCATGCAACGCGCTGACAATTGTCTGTTTCGAGGAGTCTGGAGGCTCACGGTCGAGCACGGTACCTCTGCCGTGACCTCGACGATCCGCGGCCAGACGCGAGCAGACTTCATCTAAAGAGATCAATTTCTCCAACTTTTCATACAGAGATTTCTATCAATCTCGAACTTAATCGAATTCCTCGACGTACGAATATAACAGAACGAAGTAGGAGGCAATCGATATGCTTCGTCCCATTCGATTGTCTAGGCGAGACCATTCGTTCCTCATCAGGATAACGAAAATATATTGGATTTCGCGATGACGGCCTCATACCCGTTATAAGGAAATTGAAAAAAAAAAAAAAAACTTGAACTGCGAATGCCAGCAGGAGAACGGAGAACTGGCTGACAGCACGAATAATGCATTGATGGTAAATCACGCCGTAAAAACAGTGATCCGTCATTTTCTACTGAAACGGGAAACAGGGATGATCTTATCGCGTTTCAATAACCTTTAATGCCGGCAGCGACAGCATTACGCCCCCGACGCGAGCAGTAAAGTCGATACAACGCAGTAATGGCCCGCGCGAAACGAAAAAGAATGATCGATGCGAACGATTCCTCCTTGCTAGCTACTCCTTATCCACGAAGGACAGACTTCCGTATTACAAAAAAAAAAAAAATTTTACTGCCTACCATTACGAAGTGACTGTCATTTTTTTACACAGTTGGAAGTATTATAATTAGATGAACTAGTTACAGCCGGTATGGCACGTAACTATATCCAGTTAATTGTGTCTGATGATACGTACTAACTCATAACTGCTCGTTATCCTTCGCAGACAGAATTAACTGACCCGTTTAATTCATCGTCATTATGACGATCATCGCGCCTCGGCGAATTGAACTCTCTTTCGAATCGCAGCTCGTAGCGCGAGCCAAAGGGAAATTGAAAAGAATCCCGGACTCCGCTCTTCCTCCTTGAATAAAGCAGGGGGGGTAGCGAGGGGAGCGGCGGGCTGCCGGTGAATTTCGCGCGATTCCATTATCGAATAATTTATCCGCAGTTACTCGAGATGAAGCTGTCGGCCCCTGTGTGTGCGATAGCGGAATCGCGATACGCTCGGTGCATCGAGCGTGAACACGGCGTCGAGGAGAGAGAATCACAGAAGGGATCGATTCCGGTACCGCCAAGGGAACCAACCCCTTCGCGCGCCCCCTCCAGCCCTGAGAATGCTCGCGCTCGCTCGCTCGCTAGTTCTCTCTCTCTCTTTCTCTCTGGGACTTTGGAGTGGAGGCCCTGCAACGACAAATCGAAACCCGAACGAACGAATCGCTCGCGCCCTGCCGCCCCTTTAATCGCCTTCGATCCCATTTTCGCGTTTTCTCGCGCCTCTGCCCCCCGGCCGTTACAACCGATCACGCATGATCAATACCCGAGATCGATAGGCAAGCACCGGGCTCCATTCGTTATGCGATATTCTCCTACTGATTCGAATCGTATGCGATCGGATTGAATGTTCATGAGAATGTAACGAGATACAATAGCTTGTAAAGCAATTTACGAAGTAAATTTCGCACCGTACTATGCAGATCGAAATTATGACGAGAATATCGAGATTTCGAATAACAGATCGTGACACGTTACCTGAATTATATAATAAATATTTAAGGATCTTTTGATCTTTTACAAAACCCAGACGCCCTCTTTCTGTTTCTAAAAATTCTGTACATCTCACGGTTTTCGAAAATCGTGCCACGCACGCATGGACGTGTATGAAACCGCGGGCAATAAAAAGAGCGTTGCTCTATGAGCGGGGGAATCGATCGTTGTGTTACTCACGGACAAAGATGTTGCTCATCAGGGTCGCAGGCAGGCAGAACACGATGACAAGGACGTCGGCCACCGCTAGGTTGACGATGAAGAAGTTGGTAACAGTCCTCATGCGAGGCGACCGGTACACCACGGCGATGACAAAACTGTTCCCGATCAGACCGACGACAAATACGAGAACGTAAGCGACACAATACACCGCGGACATCGCCATGCTGTGTCTGTAGAGACGGTCGGGTATCTGTTCGCCGACCGAGAGGTTCGTCTTGCTGGCGTTCAACAGGCCACTGTGCTCCTCGACCGACGTCCTCGGGTTCGTCGTGATCGCCTCGACGATCAGATTGTTCAGATAGTCGCCCAGGTCGTTCCTCATCTGGAGGAAGGTCCCGGTCGCCTGCGGCATGGACGAGATCGTTGTCGCCAGTACGTTTCCATTATTATTCTTGCGGCGCGTGTCGACGTCGAACTCTTCGGGGTCCGGCAGACGCAGTGAGGCCATCTCCAGCAGCGGAGACGGTGGCTGCAACATCGGGAGCTTGATCGCCGTGAACCGTTGGGTCGACGTCGTTTCGACCATCGGCCGAGTGGGTGCACGTTCTCGTCCTGCCCGTTCCGCACCGTCGGCGTCGCGTCGTTGTGTCGACGACCCCGGACCACCCGAGTCCCGCCTTCGCCCCGACCTACGTGCACCTCTGCGTGGTTCACCTGATCGATCCGCGTCCCTGAATCCCTCGCTCGCTGTTCCCCACTGTCCCGGATCGATGCGTTCAACCCCGATACCTCTCCGATCTCTCAGCGATACACGGCGAATCGCCTAATCGAGGAACCTCGACGATACCATTGGGCGACGTGACACTCCGTTATTAATTAGAAACGAACGATTTCTGGCGGGACCAGCATTTTTCAGCGTCGATAGTAGTAAGGAGGAAAGGAGCGCGTGGTCGTAGTATCGAGTTCGACGCTCCTTGTGAGTCAACTGGCACGTGCACGAGAGCCCATCGAGCTTCGTCGCATCCCCTCGCGGGACGAACGACTGTTCGACTTCCAGGTGAATCGTCCCGCTTAAACTTAACTGGTGATCTTGTTCTGGCTCTTCGTCGGTTGATTAGAAAATGAATGAAAGGGGACGAGGTTAGTCGCCGCCGAGCGGTTAGGGAAAACGGAGCGTGTGTTCTGTGTATTTTCGGTGGGGAAACAGAAAGAAAAGGGCCAGGTGTCGTGCCGAGTTGGACGGGACACGAGGCGGACGAACGGTCTGGCGTGATCCACGAAAAGGTGTCCCGGCCGAATGCTGAACGACTAATGAGCTTGCTTTAGAAGACGACTGCGAACTGCCGCGAGATGCACCCGTAGCGGCGAGCTGTCTGGCGACACGCCGCCACTGCGCACGCGTTGCCGACCATCGGCACATGCATCCGCATGCGAGCTACGCCGTGATCATCGTAGTATAGCGCGAGCCAGGGAAATGGGAAAATTTGGTAGAAGTTGTTTAGGAAGGCAAAAATCAACTGATTCAAACGACATTTGATAAAAACTAATATATTATTACTAAGTAATTTCTTTATTTTCCATGATAAACAACGTTTCCAAAGTGCTTCGAAAAATTTCAGACGTTCGACAAGAAACATATTTAATATTAAAAAGGGAAACTTGGGTCAATAAATTTTTCTCAAATACCTCCGGGATTTCTTAACGTCTCTTTCTAATGTTTTACTGAAATACTGTTGGAAATACTTTTTCAGATCTTCAATTCTTGAAAAAAAAAAAAAATCACGAGAATAGCTGTCGCTTGCAAGCCACGCTGACGTCTCGATGTATTCTTAGAAACTTTACTCTCAACGACAGTCGCACATCAAAGTTAAAAGTTCCCTCGCTTCTCGTTTTACCATGCTTCCGGACAGATGCTTCTACTATTTCATACACGACTATTTAAATCAAATTACCGTGACCAATTCCTTGACAAATGTTTGTTCTCTCTTGTTACCCGGTATGGCTGGTTTCCCGACACCTGAATAACGAGAGGCATCGTTCGTACGAAGGAGAAAGAAAGTAGATTAGGAAGGACCAAACTTCACCGCGATTGCCAAACGTTTCCCTCGTGAACGCCCACGACGGGCTCGTAACTTGGTTCCATGGGAGGAACTTCGTCCGAGTTTCGGCCGTGTCGAAACATCCGCTAACGGATTTCGATCAAATTAGCACTTTGTTCCAATAATAAACGCACTGTCACCCACGTTTTTCTACCCGCTGTTTGCGTTTCTGACAAAGTCATTAAATAACATATTTTCATTACGTAACTATGAGTCCAGGAAAAACTAAACTCAATCTCTAAATTGACTGTTTAAAATTATTGATAAATTTTTCGCCTAAGACGTGAAATTGTTTTAGGATAAAACCTTGAAATTAACCCTTGAATTACCTGATATTAATTATTCTAATTAACTTGAACACTCGAATTCCAGTTTTGAGAATTGTTTAGGCGGTGTTTTATATTCCGGCTTCTGACGGTTCGGCGAGAGATGAAATCGCGACGAGCAGGAAGAAACGGCGAGTGATTCCGTTTTCCAATTCTTCGACGTCCCCGACTCTCGTGGAACTTCCGGCGAGTTCGTAATTCGTTTTGTACGACCCGTCGCGGATACCTAACTCATTTTATTTGAGTCGCAAGCTCGCTAAGATTTCGTTATAGTTTTACCGCCGGTGTCCGTGAAATATCTTGGCTTCCTCTCATTTTTCCGAGTAACTTCCCCGTCCCACGCGATTCCCTGAAACACGATCTTAATTTCGCAGCTTCCGGACATTTGGTTTTATTATCGCCCTTCAACGATTTCTTCTAAATAACGTTATCTCTGTCTCTTTCTCTATAACAATAACCATGACTATGTACATTTTTAATTTGTTACACATATTTAATGAAAATGAATGAAACTACATTTCATGCAAGACGAGGAAAATCAGAAGTAATGCAAGCTTGAGGCACATAATCCGTTCAACTCTCTTGAACGAAAATCGAGTCGCCGGTCGAACTTTCCGAATTTCCAACAACGTTCACGTAATCGTTCAATTTGCATAATAGTACAGTCCCTGCGATGGGAAGCTCTCCGGGAGACGTAAGTCAAAAACTGGATATTGCCCGATGGTCTCGAGCACAGTTGAAGCTCTGCGCTCCGGCAAACGCGGTTCCGGTATAATCGGGACCCGTAAAAAAGTACTCCTATCCGGGACGGCCACGAAACGCTCGAATCGAATTCGACAGCGTGCACGACGTTGGTTAATCGATTGAAACGGGACCGAGCCGTCCCGCCCAAGAATTCTTCTTCCACGTTTCTCCCGTTGGGAACGGATGCAGGAAACTGTAACGGGACTTCCTGGTTGAAACTCGACTGCGTTTCGCGATGCCTGAAAAACACGGGGATCGATCAGAAGACACACGTGCACGCGGCGCGTTCGGCCGACTGAAAGTAAAAGCCCGCATTGCGGGGTGACTACTGCACCTTTCCACCAATTGTTTGTAACTTCGTACGTATTAAATATTCATTTTCAACAATATTTTATTTATAGTGTCGATAATCCCTCGATTGAAATTTTCATTTATTTTTAACCAAGTACCACATAGAAAATATATAAGACGATATAATATATTTTTATTCGTCTGTCGCTTTTTTAGAATTGTCTTAATAACTTCAAGTGCACTGCACGTTTGTTTAAATATTTGAACAGACGTTACTATCTCTGTTGTTTCGGAATTTGATAAAGCGAACGAAGAATTCCATGCGTGAAGTAGAAGAACGCACATGGTGAATTGGAATGATGCTTCTCTATATGTAACGCTGCATTTTCTTTAGGTTTTGTTACAACTTCTCTTACCGTTCGCGATTCGACGTGCGAAGGATTCTGTTTCTCCCTTGGTCACGTAAAAACGTGCCCCGGCAGCCGGACTGTTGAAGAATTTCATATATCCGATGGATAGATTTCGCCAAGTATTTCACGAATTTTCATTTACTTTGGATTCTCGCATTTTTTAATTTAATATCAAATAATAGTGTGTGTGTGTGTTTTTTTTCTACTCTCAGTCCTTTTCACATAGTTATAATCTTTCATATTCCCGGAATCCCTGCCGGTCCACTAAAATTTCGCGTAGAGCACGCCATACCCTCATCACCGCGATACGATCTTCCACTCCTTCCACGATGCCCTCCGCTCGGAGTCAATTATTCCTTTTTCAATTTCCTGTTCGCAGGCAATTCCATTTACCCGTTGCTTTCTTTCTTTTGATTCCTTTTTCATCTTGCGTTACTTAACCGAGGGAGCCAATCTTTTCCTTGATCGACTAAAGGCGACAAGGATGTTCGCATCATCCTCTCGTTCGGAAGTTTTCAGTTTAATTAACGGATATGAGATACCAAATTGTGGACATATTCTATCTGGCATGGAATTATCGACGAAGATGCGATTACCGCGGCAACTCAATTAGAATCTCGATTAGTTTCTCACACCCTGTCCGCCCCATCTTTCTCTCTCGCGCTTTTGCCCTATCGTCCGCCCCCCACCCCCCTCACCGACCCTGCAGCTCGTTCTTTCCCAACACGTTCCACGCCGTTTACCCTTTTTCCCGTCCCTCGGTCCTCGAATTTTAGGCGACCTGCACATCCCGGATTGTCCGACGAATTGATTTGGAACTGATTGAACTGTCGCAATTTCGTCTGATTTAGCTACTGGTTTCAAGGCGGTTCTATTCAAATTTTGAAGTCAAGTGAATCTGCATACTAAGAATTTCCAAAACCTTAATAACTATAGTTCGTAAAATCAAATTATGATTTTTTTAATCAAATTAAATCAGTTAAGTAAAATATTTTACAAGTAATTATGTGAATTGTTATTCGATTTGGCGAAATAAATATTCTTATTAAAAAGCTACCTGGAAAATTTTAAATCAATTCCTGTCTAAGGTACATAAACTTTTGGGAGTGACTGTATAGCCAATATGTCCTTAAATAGAACCACGTTAAATAATGATATACTATGCGCTATATACTGTATCTTAAAATTTTAAATTGTTTTGCCAAATGCCAATAATACTATACATAAAAGTATCAGTTTGAGTAAGAACAGGCGAAACTAACGATCCAATAAGTTTCCACTTTCGCCCCTTCAATCAGTGTAATAGAAATCTCCGATCCGCCTCGAATCAGAGCTGGAACGCAAACTAGGCGTTTAACGCAGTCCCAATGAAATTCAAATGGAAGGCATCGATTCAAGCGGTCGGCTAATTAATATTCAAACCCACGACCGCCGTCTTCCCCATTCTAAGTCTGACTGACAGTTCCAATCGATTTCGTTCAAATAATTAACGAGCCACGGCGCGACGCTATGATCGCGTTGCCTTTCACCTTTCATTGCAGGTACCATGCCTTGTCCCTCCATTCACATCGCCCGGCTGACTTTTAATGAAAGATCCACCGAAATCGTATCGCGTGAACGCCCGATATTCGGACGATCTCGTCCCTTAACGACGAACAGAGCAAGAAACGGGCGAGCGAATAGCTGCCGATCCATCCTGATCATAAATCTTCGAGGGGTTGGGAGGGGAGGTAGCGGGTTCTCGGGGGCCGGACGTCACGCGCGACTGCATCGGCTATCGAGTTTTCTTGCGGCTTAAACGAACTCCAGGGAGTAGCCAGCCGATAGTTTCCCGTCCGATCGAGCCGCAACGACGGACATTTTTCAGTAAATAAGACGGACAATGTTTCCATCCGATAACGCCGAACGGTCACGTTGGAAACTGCGAAATCGTCGCTACTAACGCAAGGTTCCTATGATTTGTCGCGCGGCCGTGGCCACGCTTGCTCTCCCGGAATGACTTTTACTTTCGCGACGACGTATTAACGGACCTTTTTCATTTTATTGGCACCGTTCCATCGTCTGTTCGCCATCGGCGAAATCTGACCCGAGCGTAGATCGGCTAAACCTGAAATAAACTCAGCTTCACACGCGTAGGCACCCTGATTGAATTGCTTCGAATTCAGCACGCGGGGCACCGAGGAATAACCCGTTAAGTCTTTCATAAGGAAACGTCAAAATTTGTCCAGTTATATAATGAGAGTCTGGATAATAAATCTCGCGCGAGTTACTGATTCAATTTCTCGTCTAACCTTGCAACCCTGCGATTTCTGAATCGCCCGGAGCCGCGATTAAAACGACGATTAATGGCGCCGATGGGGTAAGACTTGACCGCGAGGCGCCAGCCGCAATCTCGACCAGATGTTGGGAACGTTCGACGGAGAATGGAAATTGAAATTCTTTCCTGCAAGTTTGAAACGC